GGGGGGGGGGAAGACACAAGCCCTCAGCCTCTGGAGGCGACTCCTGTCAGGTGTGAGGGAGAGGTATCCCTTCAGTGAAGATGTTGTATGTTGTCCAAGCAAGTGGACCTCCATGGAAAGAGGTATCCAGTACCTGAGGGAATTAGCTGTGTGGGGCATGGTTTATTATGACCGGGACAGCACACAGTTACCCACAGATCCTGATGAAGTCCAGTGCACAAGGCCCATGTGGCGGAGGTTTGTACAGAGCACACCATCATCGTACACCAACTCCTTGGCAGTGATGGAATGGAAGGGCGAAGAGGGACCAATGGTGGATGAGGTGGCTGGCTGACTCCGTCAATATGAAGGAAGTCTCTCTTCCCCCCCTCATCTCAGCTGTGGAGAAACTGTCCCAGAAAGTCCAGCAACTTGAAGAGAGTATGTTCTACTCCCCACCTGTACAGACCAGCATCTCAGCTATTAGGAGCAGGTGTTTCCCTACTCAAGAGGGAGAGTACAGGGGGTACGCACCACGAGGCACCCTGTGGTTTTACCTGCGTGACAAGGAAGAGGACATGAGGAAGTGAGATGGACAACCTGTCCCGATTCTAGAAGCACGATTTACGTGACTTGCAAGGAAGAACAATCACAAAAGGGGTTCCTTTCAGGAAAAGTGATGCTCCAGTTTCCAGTGGGCAGTTCCCCAGACAGAATAGAAGGCCTGATGTCGCCTCCGATCCTCTTGAAGGGACTCCCAAGTCATTTCTGCAACAAGTGAGTAATGGATACTATGATCAGGATTAGAGGGGCCCTGCCTCCAGCCAGGTGGGGGAAAAGGGACAACCGGGTTTATTGGACTGTGTGGATTTGATGACCTGGCATGTTAAAGCCACAAAAGTATCATGGAATTTTCAGAGTTGGAACGAGAGGGAGAGTACAGGGGGTACGCACCACGAGGCACCCTGTGGTTTTACCTGCGTGACAAGGAAGAGGACATGAGGAAGTGAGATGGACAACCTGTCCCGATTCTAGAAGCACGATTTACGTGACTTGCAAGGAAGAACAATCACAAAAGGGGTTCCTTTCAGGAAAAGTTGTATTTGAATGGAACTTCCTATATTCCTGATGTTGAATGTTCCAGGGATGGGGCATCTGCCACCTCTCTGGGCAACCTGTTCCAGTGTTTCACCACCCTCATTGTAAAAGAGTTTCTTCCTTATATCTAGTCTAAATCTACCCTCTTAGTTTACAACCATTGCTCCTCGTCCAATTGCCACGGGCCCTGCTAAAAAGTTTGTCCCTATCTTTCTTATAAGCCCCCTGTAAATACTGGAAGGCCGCAATAAGGTCTCCCCGGAGCCTTCTCTTCTTCAGGCTGAACAACCCCAACTCTCTCAGCCTGTCCTCATAGGAGAGGTGTTCATTTTTGATCACTTTTGTTGCCCTCCTCTGGATCTGCTTCAGCAGGTCCATGTCTTTCCTGTGCTGAGCGCTCCAGAGCTGGATGCAGTATTGCAAGTGGGGTCTCACCAGAGTAGAGGGGCAGAATCGCCTCCCTTGACCTGCTAGCCATGCTTCTTTTGATGCAGCCCAGGATAATACGGTTGGCTCTCTGGGTTGCAAGTGCACATTGTCAGCTCATGTTGAGCTTTTCATCCACCAGTACCCCTAAGTCCTTCTCAGCAGGGCTTCTCTCAATCCCTTCATCCCCCAGTCTGCATTGATAATGGATGTTGCCCCAACCCACATGCAGGATCTTGCACTTGGCCTTGTTAAACCTCATGAGGTTTGCACAGGCCCACTTCTCGAGCCTGTCCGCATCCCTCTGGATGGCATCCCGTCCCTCAGGCATATCAACCGCACCAATCAGCTTGGTGTCATCTGCAAACTTGCTGAGGGTGCATTTGATCCCACTGTCCCATTGTTACTGATGAAGATATTGGAGAGTGGTGGTCCCAATATGGACTCCTGTGGGACACCACTTGTCATCGATCTCCATCTGGACATAGAGCTGTTGACCACTACCCTCTGGATGTGACCATCCAACAAACAGTCCACCCATCAAATCCATAGCTCTCCAGTTTAGAGAGAAGGATGTTGTGGGGGGACCTTGTCAAAGGCCGTACAGAAGTCTAGATAGATTACATCCATAGCTCTTCCCCTTGTCCACTGATGTAGTCACTCCATCATAGGAAGCCACTAGGTTGGTCTGGCAGGACTTGCCCTTGGTGAAGCCATGCTGGCTGTGGCAAATCACCTCCCTGTCCTCCATGTGCCTTAGCACAGCTTCTAGGAGGATCTGTTCCATGATCTTCGCAGGCACAGAGGTGAGACTGACATGTTGGTAGTTCCCAGGGTCCTCCTTTCTACCCTTTTTAAAAATGGGTGCAAATTTTCCCTTTTTCCAGTCACCGGGGACTTCACCTGACTGCCGTGACTTTTCAAATATCATGGAGGGTGGCTTGGCAACTACATCAGCCAATTCCCTCAGGACTGTGGGATGCATCTCATCAGGTCCCATAGACTTCTGTATGTTCAGGTTCCTCAGGTGGTCACGAGCCTGATCTTCTCTTACAGAGGGAAGGCCTTTGCTCCCCTAGTCCCTGCCTTGTGGTCCATCCACTCGAGAGGTGTGGGGAGAGAGGTTGCCAGTGAAGACTGAGTCAAAAAATTCTTGAGTACCTCAACCTTCTCCTCATCCGTTGTTACCAGTCTTGCTCATCGGGGGGTATGCTTTCTTTGACTTTACTTTTCTGGTTGAAATACCTGTAGAGGCCCTTATTATTCTTTGCATTCCTTGCCAAGTTCAGCTCCAGCTGCGCCTTGGCCTTCCTGACCCCATCTCTACACAACCGGGCAGCATTCCTATACTTGTCCCAGGATACCTGTCCCTGCTTCCACTGCCTGTGTGTTTCCTTCTTGCCCTTTAGTTTGACCAGCAGGTCTTGACTCTTCCATGCTGGTCTCTTGCCCTCCTTTACTGATTTCTTATACCTGGGGATTGGGAGCTCTTGCACTCTGTGGAAAGCATCCTTAAAGGTCTGCCAGCTCTGTTCTGCGACCTTGCCCGTGAGGCAATTTCCCCAGGGGTCGTATTGACTAACTCCTTGCAGAGCTGCAAGTTTGCTTTCCTAAAATTCAGGGTCCTGACTTTACTCCTCCCCTGACCCATATCCCTCAGGACTGCGAACTCCACCAGTGCATGATCACTGCAGCCAAGGTTGCCTCCAATCTTGACGTCTCCAATTGGCTCACTTGCATTGGTGACCATCAGGTGTCGTTGTAGAGACGGACACGACACTGAATATCCAGTTACAGCAATAGTCATGCTTTATTTTACAAGCAGTGCTCTTTTATATCCTCTTAGCTGGTTGCTTATCTGTGCATATGTTCTAACATTCTACT